AGAGAAAGATAGAAAGAAAGAAAGAAGAAAATCAGTATGGGGAAAGAAAAAAATAACAAAGAAAAGCAAAGTCTCGATTTTCTTCTCTGTGACTCCCCTCCCTTCCTCCCTCAGCTCCTCTTCTCCAGACAGAAACCTGTGTGTAGCCCAGGCTGGCCTCCAACTCTCCATCCTGCCTCCCTCGCCCCATGCTGGGATCACAGGTCTGTCCCGTTTCTTGTGTGTCATTGTACCATTCCTTCAGGAAGCTTTCCGGGAAGGGGAGAGTGTCACCTGGGACCAAAGTGCAGGATAGCTCCTGAAAGGCCTCTCTGTCCTGGGGTCTGTTTTTATATTCTAAAACCACAAGGTGGAGCTGGCAAGCAAGCAAGGTTTCCAGGAGCCGACTGAGGGCAGCAGGCTGTGAGCTGGCCCACTGTTCAGCTGTTTCTCCAGGCCATTCTGTTTCAGGTAGCAGTGAAATCATGTTTGGCAAACAGGCAGCACAAACAGTGCTTTAAGTGAATCACCAAATAAATCAACAAATCAGGATCTAAGAATAGTTCTTCCACCATTAGAGCCAATTCATGCAAACCTCTGTGTCAACTGGGCCTTTTCTGAACTTTGTGGGAAATTTCATGGCCAGCCATGAAGTTTTGTGGTAAACTAGACCACACACCACAGCCTCGCATCTTTGCTTAATTGAAAAGGATGTGTTCCAGCCTGGCAGTGGTGGTCACACCTTTAATCCCAGTGCTCAGGAGGCAGAGGCAGGAGAATGAATCTCCATGAGATTGAGGCCAACCTGGTCTATAGATAGATTAAGTTCCAGGATAGCCATGACTACATAAGGAAACCCTGTCTTAAAACAAAAATTTTAAAAAAGAAGAAGAAAAGAATGAAATCCTAGGATTTGGAATGGCTTATTTGGGAAAACAAAAACAAACAAACAAGAAAGATGTCTTGACGTTGAAGCCAACCAAGGTGACTGTCTATGCCTAAACCTACAAACGAGACTGAGAGAGTCTGAAGCAGCTTCGGTGTGGTGTGGACACCGATAACCTCAGCAAGCGGAGGTAGAAGAATCGGAGTTCAAGACCAGACCCTACCTCAAATAAAAAAGAAAGGCTGGCCAGTTTAAGGATGAAGTGCCAGTTGTAGGGGTTTGAATGGAATCCTAGGGTTTACTCGTTCCGTTTTTGTTTGTTTGGGAAAGGGTCTCATTGGGCCCAAACTGGCCCGGAACCCCTCCCCATCCTCGTACCTCCTCTAAGCTCTGGAACTGCAGCTGTGAGCCGCCACTCCAGAAGGAGGCTGGTTTTCAAGCGCGTGCGGACAGGGAACAGGATTTCTCTGGGCCAGGCCAAGAACAGAGTGGGTCCTGCTCTTAAAGAAGGTGGATTCTGTGATGTTGGACTATACTCAAGAGGAGGCTCAAGCTTTCTCTTAGGCACTGTAAAGGTTTTGTGGCCTGGTAGGGCTCTCCGCCGACGCAATAATCCAAATCAAACCCAATTAGAAGATGCCCAGGTTTAATGGATGCCAGCGCTCCCGGGTGACCCTTCAGGCTTCCTGGGAGAAAGATGGGGAAACCATGGAGAGGGGAAAGGAGAACCGGAAAGACCACGTGTTGGTTCTCTGGGTCTTGATCCTCTCTGCAAGGGTCACTGTTTGGCAGGCTTTCTCAGAGATGGAGTCTGGACCGTGGCAACGCCCAGGGGAGGGGCCTGGAATGAAAAGCTCCACCCAAACATTTCAGAATGGATGCCAGGGGCTGGGGTGAAGCCCCACCCGAACATTCCAGACTCTCTGGATATAGGGGTGTCAAGGGGCTGGGCTGACACTTCCAACCAAGCATCCTGGACTAGCAACTGCTTCTCAGTCTCCAGAGAAGCCAGAAGGTGGGAGAGGGACACAAGATGTCCTGGATTCTCTGGCAGCTCAACCCTCTCCGTGAGATCACCTCTGTTTTTAGATGCTGGAGGCCGATTGCAGAAGGAGCGTCCTGGACATCCACCACCCTGAAGGCCCAGGGGACAGACTGCAGAGCCCTCAAGTGCCTTCCTCTCCCAGCCCCGCAGCCCCCAAGCCTGGACTCTGAGGTGCATCGGAGGACCCTAGGGGAGTCATGGCAGCTTCCAGGCTCTGCTGCACTGCTGCTCCCGTCACCGCGCTGACCATGGTCGCCTTGGGCCCAGCTGGGGCACACTGGCCTCTGACCTTCTTCTTCTTTCTCTTCTAGCCCCTCCTCCTGTGCACCCTCTGCCGTCCGTCCTCACGATCCTTATTCTCCCCGTCCTGAAGGTCCCTCTTTCATCTTGTCCACATTCTCTCGTCCTGAGAGCTCTGTGGCTTTCCTGAGCCTTCCCAAATCGGTCTCTCTCCATAGTGTCTTCTTTGCTTTGCTCCTGGGCTCAAGCCTATATCCGTGTGCTGGGAACAAGTCCCATCTCCCTGTTTGGACACAGAGAAGCTGCTGTGTCTGTTCCCCTCGGTTTTCCCCAGTCCCCCGGTCCCTACAGACACAGGACAGGTCTCTGCATTCTAGTTCCGCAGTGTGCTGTGGGGCAGTGTGAACGATGACAGGGCTTCTGACCATGCGCTGACGTCTGGAAGAAAAGCAATCCTCATTCTTTGTCTGATTTTTTTTTTTTTGAGACAGGGTTTCTCTGTAGCTCTGGAGACTGTTCTGGAACTAGCTCTGTAGACCAGGCTGGCCTTGAACTCACAGAGATCCACCTGCCTCTTCCTCCTGAGTGCTGGGATTAAAGGCGTGCACTACCATGGCTCAAATTTTTTATTATCACATTTACCTACTTACATATTTATGTTGTGTGTGTGTGTATATGTGTGTATATATGTATGTATGTGTGTGCATGTGTGTGTATGTGTGCGTGCATGTGTATATATATATATATGTTTGTATGTGTGTATGTGTGTGCATGCATGTGTGTAGTGTATGTGTGTGTATATGTGTATGTGTGTGTGCATGTGTGTATGTGAATGTGTTTATATATGCATGTGTGTATGCATGTGTGTCTATATATGTGTATGTGCCTATATGTGTGTGTGCATCTGTGTATGTGCATGTGTATGTGTGTGTGTGTGTGTGTGTGTGTGTGTGTGTGTGGAGATCAGAGGATAACTTGTAAGATTCCATTCACTTCTACCATGTCAGTTCTAGGGACTGAGCTGGGGTCAGCAGTGTGGTGGCAAAGGCTGTTAACCCTCTCAGCCATTTCTATGGCATTCTCTCCATCTTACTTCTCAAAAAAAAAAAAAAAAGATTTTCTGGATGCTTTTCAACTGAAACAGGTTAACTGAGCTCTGTCTTTGAAGAGCAGATAACCGAGTTGACTTGAACACTTTCCATTTGGACTGCCATGCCACCTGTGCTTTCCCGCCCGCTACCCACAGCCCTGCCCAGCTGGCAGCAGGAAGGTCAGCAAAGCTGCTGATAAGAGGGTATAAAGAGGGCTTGGCTCATGGCAAGGGGCAGTGGGCTACCCTCTCGGCAACATGTTGCGCTTCCTGGTGCTCGCCTCCCTGGTCCTGTACGGTAAGTGGATCCTTTGGCCTGAGTTCTGAGGGAGGGGGGACTTGAACAGCAGGGTCAGAAAGTCTCTAAGCCCAGACCAGCTCTCTATCTCAGAGGAAGGTGGAAAGCTACGCCTAGCAGAGACCTAACTCTCCTGGAGCAAAAGACGAGCAAGATTGAGGAGCACTGCCTGACTGGCCACGCAGGACTGAGGGGCACTGATTGGTCACGCAGGTGCCTGCTAGGTGTCAGGTACCTGAGCCAAAAAGTATAAAGAAGCCCCTTGGGGGGTTCCCCACCATCCCTCCTAACTGCTGTCAGTAGCTCCTGGAGAATCCCACCAAAGCATAGGAGAGGTTTCCTCAAGCTGAAGGGTGACCTTGAGGCAGGAAGAGCAGGCGTCTGTGGGCCTTTAACCTGGTGATTTGGGAAAGGTCTTTCCCTGCCAGTCAGAGTTCTTACACATCCCAAAGAAAGAAGGGGCTTGGGCTCCGTTTTCAAAAGAGGCAGAAGGGGTGCAGACAACTTAGGGCTGGGCCCCTGGGCCTGTTTCCGAAGGGCTGTGAATTTGCAGACAAAGCTAACAGTCTTCACAGCCCAGCTGCCGCTCCCTGCCCCCGCCCGGCTGCCCCCACGCTGAGTCATCAGTGTCTTTTCTTCTGCCCCACAAAGGACACAGCACCCAGGACTTTCCAGAAACTAATGCACGGGTGGTCGGAGGGGCTGAGGCCCAGAGGAACTCTTGGCCATCTCAGGTGGGTGTTTCCCCCTGCCCAGGATTTTACCCAAACAAGAGATAATAATGTGTACCCCCCCCCAAATTATTTCACACGTCTATCGTGTTTATCCTCAGCAGCTCACTTGCTGTCTAATTCTGATTTTTAAATATGTGTGGGGCCAAACTAAGATGGAACTCTAATTGCAAAAGACTTGGGGGAGGAGACTTATATACCAGTGTCCTGGGCGCGCGCGTGCGTGCATGTGTGTGAGAGAGAGAGAGAGAGAGACAGACAGACAGACAGACAGACACAGAAAGTGCCGAGTTCCACCCCACAGCTAGAGCATTCCGCCATGTTTGTGGTCAGGCCTCCCATGCTTCTGCCACTGCACTGAGTACTCTAAGCTAGTGCCAACCCCTCGCTCTCTCACTGACCCCTCGAAAATCCCTCTCACTCTTCTGTCTCCACCTCCCACCTCACCACAGGAGTGCTGGGAATCACAGGTGCTCACCATTCAGGCTTCAGTTTGCTGTATGAGACGGGTTCTCGTCATGGGGCCTGGCTGGCCTGGAACTGGTAGTGTAGACCAGGCTGACCTCAAACTCAGAGAACCTTCCTGCCTCTGTCTCCCAAGTGCTGAGATGAACACACCGGTTTCTTTCCTTGCTTCCTTCCTTCCTTGCTTCTTTCCTTCTTTCCTCCTTTCTTTCTTCCTTCCTTTCTTCCTTCCTTCCTTCTTTCCTTCCTTCCTTCCCTCCCTCTTTCCTTCTTTCTTTCTTTCTTTCTTTCTTTCTTTCTTTCTTTCTTATAATCTTTGGGGGGAGGTATATTTTATCTATCTATCTATCTATCTATCTATCTATCTATCTATCTATTTCTTTATTTATTTTTGTTTGTTTATGTTGTTTATATTGAGCTATATATTTTCTTCACTCCCTTCTTCCCTGCCTCTCCCCTCCCCTTCTATCATCTCCCATGGTCCCCATGCCCCAAATTTGCTCAGGAAATCTTGTCTTTTTCTATTTCCCATGTAGATTAGATCCTCATTGTTGTCTAGGTTCTCTGAGATTGTGAATTATAGACTAGTTTTTCTTTGCTTTATATATAAAAGCCACTTATGAGTGAGAATGTATGATATTTGTATTTCTGGGTCTGGGTTACCTCATTCAATATGATGTTTTCTAGATCCATTCATTTACCCACAAATTTCAAGATGTCATTATTTTTTTCTGCTGTGTAGTACTCCATTGTGTAAATGTACCACATTTTCCTTATCCATTCTTCAGTCAAGGGGCATTTAGGTTGTTCCCAGGTTCTGGCTATGACAAACAAAGCTGCTATGAACATAGTTGAGTACATGTCCTTGGAACACACCAGTGTCTTACAAGGGTTTCAAGGATTTATACCCAGGCCATCAGGCATAGCAAGTGATTTACTTGTGACCCAAACTTCATTCCTTCCTTCTGTAATATGAGGGTTTGAACCCAGGACTCCATTCGTGCATGGCAAATGTTCTTCCTCTGAGTTACATGCTTACCCCACAAGCTGTTGTTATTCCTGCGATGGCCTGTGTGATACTGCTACAGACTATGTGCCAGGTGGACCCAAAAGGCTCCACACGCCCTAAAACACACGCGCACCCACCACTCCACAGTGTAAGGCTAACATGCCAAAAACACAGAGGTGTGAAGTTTCTTTGGCTAATGTTTTCATAGCCTTAACAGGACACTTGCGCCTGACTCACTGCAGCTATGAATACATAGAGCAGGCATGCTAGCTGCCTGACAGCCACACTTCCAGAGGAATCACCGCAAGTACAATTAGATTTAATTTACATCAATCTGAACCCAATTCTCAGAAGTAGATCTATTGTGTAATATGAGAAAGCACAAACTGATTACAAAGAAAAAAACAAAAAAAGAATATTCCATTGGCATGTCTAATTACTCCCTGATGGGCAAGGCCAGGGTACTTCTAGAAGACACTGAAGGGAGGACCTTGGAGACCTGAACCTGCAGGGCTTGAGTGAAGGAGAAATGCCGGCTCCCTTTGGAACGGAGATGAGGGAAGAACCGGAGTTCTATGCCCACGGGCGGCAACATTCCATTGGAGAGGGGCATGAGGCGCTTGCCGCGCCTTTACTTTCCCATGTGCGTGTAGCAAATGTCACCAAACGGTAGAGACTCTTTCCAGCTGACCCCAGAAGCAAGGCATTCCACATAGCCTCTTCCAGCAGTCTGGAGCAATGGGGCAGGGGTGGGGTGGGGGTGGGGAGCTGGTTTGCTATGAATGATGTCAGGAGTTTTAGAAGGGGTGACTCCAGCCCCCCTGCTTTCTTCTTTCCTAGATTTCCCTCCAGTACCGCGATGGAGGCTTATGGTACCACACCTGTGGAGGGACCCTCATCCGGCGAAGCTGGGTGATGACAGCTGCTCACTGTGTGGACAGGTGAGGGCAGAAGCGACCGCCCCTTTGGAAGACTATAGAACTTGGACTTCTCCAGACAGGACTAGCAATGGGCCATCATTGAGCCCGTGTGTTTGGGGGTCATGGAAGGGACAGTATAAAGTACATGTTTTGGAGTCCAGCAGGTTCAGATTCAAATCTCATTCCAGCATCTTCTGGCGGTGTGACCTCTGCTCTCCCAGTCCCTCTGAAGCGGGAAAATAGTGCTGACAGCTGAGGAAATACTTAAACGTTGACTTGCCATCTGAGGGCTGGTCCTAGGGACAAGCGAAGTTTTCTTTTTAAAAAGTTAGAATGTATTGTTACTATAATTATTTTTATTTTTGTTGCTGTGTGTGTGGATGTGTGTGTGTGTGTGTGTGTGTGTGTGTGTGTGTGTGTGCATGATCAGGGGCACACGACATGATATACATACAGAGGTCAGAAGACAGCCTTGTGGAGTTGATTTTCCTGTCTCAGGCATAGAAGTCTGATTGCCATACTTGTGCAGCAAACACCTTTATCCATTGAACCATCCCGCCTGTCCAGTTCCCAGATCTGAGCAGATATTACAGTCACATGGGAAGCAGCAATTGGTGGGCCCACTCTGCAGAGCTCTCATATGGCAAGTTCTGGGTGAAACCTGATGATTGTATTTCAGTGGGGGACATGCATGCGTGTACGAGTGTTTAGAGGTGTGTGATTGCCCATATGCGCATCTGCGAGATCAGAGATCAACATCAGGAAATCTTAATCACTTATTCACTTTATTTTTTGAAAGAGCCACTCATTGAACCTGGAACTTGATATTTTTGCTAGGCTGGGCCAAGAGGCCCTGGGACACATCTGCCAGTGCTGAGGTCAGAGGTATCTCCTCATGTTTGCACAGTGGCCTTTTTCCCGCTAAGCCATCTTCCCAGACCCTGACAAGTTTCCAAGTATGCTAACAGTGCTGGTCCAGAACACACTTTAGGAGGTACCGGTCTAGACAGTGTACAGTGATGAACATTTGTAACCCTGGTACAAGAGGCTGAGACAGGAGGATTGAGGGTTTGAAGCCAGCCTGGGATGAGACAGTGTCTAAACCAACACCACCACCACCACACACACATACACACTTACAAACATACATACAAACATGCGTGTGTGTGTAAAACCTCTAGGTTTATCTCCCCACAGCTGGGTGTTGTCGAGTACCATCATATTCAACCTGCACTGCTGACTTCGTGAGCTGAAAATGTGCAGGGATTGTACTTTCTGCTGCCACCAGTCGATAATTCAGGGAATGAGGGGGGATGGCTGTATTCTCACCTTCCAAGACGTTTGCCCTCCTCTGTCTAGGCCAGATAAGCTGAGCTCCTGGCCCAAAGTGAGCTGTCACCCACCTTCTTCCTTTTCTCGAAGGGAGAAAGAGATTCCTCAGGCTTCCTTCTCTCTCCCCAGCCAGATGACCTTCCGTGTGGCCGTTGGAGATCACAACCTGAGCCAGAACGATGGCACCGAGCAGTTCATGAGTGTGCAGAAGGTTGTGGTGCACCCCAGCTGGAACAGGAACAACGTGGCTGCAGGGTATGGCAGGAGGCTAAGCTGTGGGTATGCAAGAGGCTAAGCTGCAGGGTATGCATGAGCTAAGCTGGCCTGGGCTGGGGCAGGGGCTGCCTCACCCCTGGGTCTCTGTTTTCTTCACTTGCTCTCCTGGGGGCACAGAGGGATGGCTGAAACTTTGTGTGTGGCTTCTGTGGCCTGGTCTTGTTGAGTAGTGGGTGGAGCCTGGGAGAGAGCCCCTCGTCCTGCAGCAGGCAGTGTGCTGGCTTCTCAGCCAGGAGCACGTGGACCTAGGTACCTGCAGAGTTATGGGTTTTTCTCTTTTGGGTGAGGATTTTCTGTTTTGATGCCTCTGTTTTTCTGGGGGTCGGTATTTTGGTTTGGTTTTGATATTTTGAGACAGTCTCTCACATAACTCAAGCTGACCTTGAACTCACTGTGTAGCCAAGGTTGCCACCCTGACTCCCAAGTGCTGGATTCCAGGAGCATAGTACCACACGGTGCTTCGTCTGGTCCTTGCTATTTATTCACCTTATGGGATACACTTCATGTGTACAAGAAAATCTTGCTTGGTTTTTGGCTTGGCTTTGGTGTAGGAGAAGGAACCCAGATCCTTGAACATACCAGGCAAGGAAATTTCTTCAGGTGTGTTGTAAAGTTTTGGAAAGCCAATCTTTAACGTGGTGGCTGGGGTGCTGCCCTCAGTGGGGCAGTCTTCTAAGGTGAACGCTTGAGAGGCTAAGGCAAGATGATCAAGAGTTCAAAGTCAGTGTCAGCTGCGTAGCTAGAACAAAGACAGTCTGGGATCAAAAAGACCCAGGCTCTAAAACATCTAACCCCTGTCTGCCAAAAAATGGGGACATAATTCAATGGTAAAGTGCCTGCCTGACATGATTATGGCTGTAGTTGAAGCCACACCACTAGAGAAAAACTTGTGGTCACAGAAGGGGTTGTACCTGTTTGAGAACTCTATAGCCAAGACCACACCACCTGCTTTTTTACCATTCTGGCTGTCCACCCACCTAGGTTGCAAAGCAGAGCCAGGCTGCAATTCCAACATCCTACCAACAGGTGCTGCTGTTACACACCTAATGTACCGCAGCTCAACAGCTTCCAAGTTTGTCCCCTCCTTTAAGGGTGTGTGTGTGTGTGTGTGTGTCTGTCTGTCTGTCTGTCTGTCTGTCTGTCTGTCTGTCTGTCTGTGTGCCTGTGTGTGTCTGTGTATGTTTGTGTGTGTGTCTATGTTTGTGTGTGTCTGTGTCTGCATGTGTTCACATGTGTGCAGGACCAGAAGTCATCAGATGGCACAGAACTGGAGTTTCCGGCATCTGATGTGGTACTTGGAGCAGGACTTGGATCCTCTGAACCGCAGACCTACTGTGAGTAAGACACCTCCTCTCCTCCTGCAGCTATGACATCGCCCTGCTGCGCTTGGCCCAGAGTGTTACACTCAATAACTACGTCCAGCTGGGTGTTCTGCCCCAGGAGGGAACCACGCTGGCTAACAATACTCCCTGCTACATCACAGGCTGGGGGAAAACCAAAAGTAAGTCATGCACAGTTCCACCACACACCACTGAGATTTTGATGAAACCGCTGTGCTCCTAGGGGCTCCTTTTTCTGTGGCCCTAGACATTTATAGCTAAGACCAACAGCTTAGGGAACCACAGATCAAATCACTGATACAGCTGAGCCAGAGGTCACGGACTTGTATAGCTGGCTAGGAACGTGGGAACACTAAGGACAACCCAGAAGCCTGGCAGCCGCAAGGCGGGAATGCGGTTCCTGGAGAAGAGTCAAGGCCTTACCTGAGCACAGTCTATTGGGAAAGCCAGGGGCAGACACAGACAGACTTCTAATCCAGCGCTCAATTCTTGTAATAGCACTGTGGTTCCATACCAGGAAAGGACTCTAAGGACCTACAGAAATAGCATCAGACACAAGGGCTTTCAAGACTCAAAAGAGTCAGGTAAAGGAAAACTGTACCAAGCTCTTTTAAAAATGATTCATCTTTATTGTTTTTAACTACGTGTACATGTGCGTGTCTGCGCGTGTAGGAAGTGCAGAGTTCAGAAGAGGGTGTTTGCCCAGACCGGTGCTGAGAACTGAACTCAGGTCCTCTGCAAGAGCAGTAAGGGCTCTTAACCACTGAGTCATCTCTCCAGCCCTAAACTCAGCTCTTACGAGAAGGAAATGAACCAGCTGTGGCACAGGCCTCTGGTCTTAGCACTCGCAGACACAGGTGGCCCTCTGTGAGATCAAGGTCAGCCTGTCCCACATAGTGAGTTCCAGAACAGCTATGGCTACATAATGAGACCCTGTAGAAGAAAGAAGAGGAGGAGGAAGAGGAGGAGGAGAAAGAAGAGAGAAAGGGCAATAAGATACTAGAGCTACCGGAGAGGCTGCAGCAGGGGGCCTGGGAGTCTGAGGCCTGCCTGGGCATTGCAATGAGGCTGCATTCCAGAAAATGAAAGGAGAGGAGGGGGAAGAGAGGGCCTGGTGGCCCCAATGCCTCTTCTGCTCTGCCCTGCTCTGTTCTGTGGGTGTGTGCAGCAGAACAGGCAGAATTTATGGAGACCATGCTATTGCTTAGCTAATTTATCCATGGACAGAAACAAGCAAAAGCAGGCCTGGGGGTCAGTGCCTGGGAACAGTGAACCTGTGGCTGCCATCTACAGAGGAGAGGGGGGATCCATGACCTGCCACAAGCAGAGAGGAGCCAGCCCCAAGTTTAGGTAACCAGATCTTGGAAAGGCTTGGTAAGATATGAAAGGAAGAGTCCTCCCCTGTGCTGACTTCCAGTGTGACATCCCATTCAGCCAATGGGCAGGTGTCTCAGACCCTGCAGCAGGCGTACCTGCCCAGCGTGGACTATGCCATCTGCTCCAGCTCCTCTTACTGGGGCTCCACGGTGAAGAGGACCATGGTGTGTGCTGGTGGAGATGGGATCCGCTCAGGATGCCAGGTGAGTGCACACAGGTGTGAGCCCCTTTTGACACTCTGCCTTTTGCTCACCCTCAGTTCCTCGCCTGTTCTTGCAGTCACAGAATCTCAAAGTGGGAAGGAATAGGGAAATACCTTGCTCAATATCCTTACCTCAAAAGCTGCACTGTGGCCTGACACACCTGTGTTTGTGTGCGTGTGTTCTTTAGAAGTTACTTGTGATCTAAATCCTTTTAAGCACGGGAACCTGCACTAAGTAGTTTTATAATCTTTTTTATACAATGCAGAGAATTCTCTGCTTAGATAAGATCAACCCACAATAAATCATACGATAGTTGCTCAGTGCAGTTCAACCTGTGTCCGTTTGCGTGTCTCTCACGTGCAGGAACTGTGCTGGGTGTTAGGAACGCAGGGAGGATTAAACAATAACAGGCGAAAGTCAAGGGCAGTGTGGCGTGCTGGCACTGTGGACCCGAGGGTGCTGTTGTCCCAGTGTGACTAAACCAAAGACAGTGAGTGACACAGAGACCCGCGGACCGTCACCGCCTGTCTGCCAGTCAGGAAAGACCTACCTGGTGAAAAACCGGGGCTGCCACATCAAAGGAAGGATTGGGCTTACAGGACCAGGAGGAGTCTCAGTCTTTCCCTAGCTAGAGTGAGCTAGGATCAGAGGCTCCCAAGTCATACCCAGCCTCCTACCTGGTTGTGCATGGCTGTTGAGCTGTTGTTGGCTATGGTAGAACCTTTGGAGATGGCTAGAGAAACCCAAAGGATACTCTCTCAACTGTGAGCACAGTGGCAGGAGCACAGAGTCCCGATTCCATCGGTGTCCACTTCCACGCCCGTCTATAATCTTAGCACTTGGGAGGGAGAGGATGGGGGCTCAGAACACCAAAATCATCTTGGGCTACAAAATCAGGTCAAGGCCAGCATGGGATACATGAGATGCTATCTTGAAAACAGAAATAAAATAAAATAAAATAAAATAATAAAGCTTGGGAGAGAAAGCCAGGTGAGATGCCCTTAGGAACAAATGTGATCCCTCATCCCAAGGAAAAGTGGCAGAATAAGAAAGAGTAGTGGGTTGGGAAAGACCAACAAGAACAGAAAGGCTTGAGTGTTTCCGGGATGGGTGGAGAATAGAGAACACACCCAGATCCAAGAAAGGGCGTAGACAAAAGAGATAAACATGCAGTAAGATCTATAAACTGGGGGAGTCTGACAGGTCATCTCATAGCTGGAGCTGCGGTGGATGACAACTCTTTGTCCCTCAAGAGTCTCTGTAGATGGTGAGGGCAGAGCACAATTGACAGGTAAGGGTGAAAGACATTCTTCAGGGAATGTGGGTCTTGCTTCAGAGCCATGGATGAGGGAGAGGGACAGACCCACCAGAGACAGAAGTCATGGAAAATGGATCTTTCAATGGGAAGAAAACTGTGAGTGGCTATGGGCAGAGGGGAAGTGTCCTGGAGACCCAGAAGAATAATGGACAGCCATGATCCCAGTAAGGAAGGGAGGGATGGAAGCCAGAGCCCAGGTGGAGCTAGCTCTAACGGGGGGGGGGGGGGGGGGGCGGCGGGAGGCGATGGGTGTCCCCTGCCCGTGAACAGGTTTGCAGGCAGGTCTTGTGTTTTATTGCTTCTGGTTACTCATGAACTAGGAAGTCAGTTTGAGTACAGAAAATGAAGGCAAAAAGGTTGCACGTACCTAGGATAATTACGTGAGCGGGAAAGGGTTGTCCTTCCAGGCCGTGAGGCTGGCACAGGCTGTATTCCCTCTCTCTCTCTCAGACCCAGTTAAAGGGGGGATGGGTTCATTCCCAGCTGGGTTTCCTCCTATCCTGGCAACAGCACAGGAGTGCGGTTTGATTTCAAGGTTCAGCTTTGTGGAAGAGGAAGGGAAGTCTGCAGGAGGCCGGTGTGCTGGTTACAACAGGACAAAAGGATCAAAGGATTTTGTGAGCCCAAAGAACTATAGGAGGTCAAGTGGCCATTGCTGTTCCAATTTTCACTGTTAAAACTTAAACACTATGATATTGGCCGTGGTGGCGCACGCCTTTAATCCTGCACTGGGAAGGCAGAGGCAGGTGGTCATCAGGGTTCAAGGCCAACCAGGGTACACAGTAAGACCCTGTCTCAAAATAAAAACAAACGATAATAACAAGACCTTAAAGGCGAGGCAGACTAGTGCACAATGCGCCCTCTCCTAGGTCCCCGCTCATTCCTCAAGTCCAGCCTTCCCCCAACAAATTTGCGCGCCTCTGCTCCCAGAGGCCTTCAGTTCTGAAGAACTGAGCATTTTATTTCTCCACACGGATAAGTCTTTGTGACAAATGTGTCTCTGGATCCTTTCTTACTGCAGAGCCCCCTGATAGAGGGCCTTTGAGGTTTACACAGTCCTAAGTGAGTCCCCTTCTAGGATCCGTGGTTCTCTGGCTTCAGTCTGTACATCCACACTGGGTTCTTTCGCAGCTTCCAGAACTTCTGACCCAAATCTCCAGCCACACCCTCCCTCTTGTCGAGCTCGGTCTTTTATCTTGTCGTTTAGCATAAAGCGATAATATTATACATGCTCAATTCCCTGCCATTCATCAGTTCTGAAATATCCTCAAAAAATTGCTGGGGGTAGAGTGGAGAGATAACCGCCCCTACCTTCAGCCCCAAGGGACCTGATGTCCTCTTCTGACCTCTGTGGGCACCAGCGTGCACACAGCACACAGACAAAACCCTCTCACACATAAAGTAAATCCTAACTTTCCCCCCTTAATTTGTTAGGGTGTGTGTGAGTACAGTCGTCTAAAAACACTTTTTCTAAGTAGTCAGGGTTATAGTGAGGTCTTTGAAGAATTAGATCCAGTTTGAATTTTTTGGTCACTTTCCCTAGTTCTTTGTGTGTATTTATCCGCGTGTGCAAGTGTGTGTGTTGGGGCAAGGGGCGGCCTGGAGCGCCGTTCTTCAGGCTCTGTCTACCTTTGTGTTTGAGAAGAGGTCTCTTACTACCCCATAATTCACAAAAGAGGTTAGGGTCCAGGATCTGCCTGCCTTGATCTCCCCAGCTCGGGGATTACAAGGGGCTTTATTTTCTTTGTTTAAATCTGGATTCTGGGGATCAAATTTGGGCCTCCGTGCTTGCTTTAGCCACCCTACAAACTGAGCTATCTACCCATTCTCTTTTTAAGTTTAATTTTTATTGATGCTAAGTGTATTGCTTGCTTGTGTTGGCAAGTGAGACTATGAGGCTCAGTAGTGAACAGTGGGGAAGATCTAGAACAGTCTTTCACTGTATTCACGCCATCCCTCCCCAGAGGCACTCTATATAGTGCAACTCACTATTCACTATTCACTGGAACTCACTATGTAACTCAAAAAGGCCTCAAACTCACAGATGCCTAAATTCTAAGATTACAGGCATGTGCCACCATGTCCAGCTCAGGTAATCTTTTGAACTCTGCCTCCATATCTTAAATATATTAGTATACATTTATATACATACACACACACTTCAGGGTTAGAAAGATGACTCCGTCATTAAGTATGCTTCTTGCACCTCCAGAGAACCAGAGTTCAGACCCAACACCTATATCAGGGGGCTTACCAGCTGCACTCAGTTATAACTTCAGATCCAGGGGCCAGACTCTCTCTGGCCTCCCTCGGTACCCACACACACATACCCATGATTGAAAATTAAAAGTAAATTCAGTCAGGTGGTGGTGGTGTATGCCTTTAATTCCAGCACTCTGGAGGCAGAGACAGGCAGATCTCTGTGAGTTCAAGGCCAGCTTGGTCTACAGAGAGAGTTCCAGGGCCTATCCTGTCTTGAAAATAAATAAGGAGAGAGAGAGAGAGAGAGAGAGAGAGAGAGAGAGAGAGAGAGAGAGGAAGAAGAAGAAGAAGAAGAAGAAGAAGAAGAAGAAGAGAAGAAGAAGAAGAAGAAAAGAAGAAGAAGAGAAGAAGAAGAAGAAGAAGAAGAAGAAGAAGCAGAAGAAGAAGGGAAGGGAGAAGGAAGGAAGGAAGGAAGGAAGGAAGGAAGGAAGGAAAAGAAACTTAAAAGTAAATTCTGCCAGGCAAGAATTAATTAAAAATAAGTGCATGTATGGCACTGTGGACATATCGGCCCTTACAGAGACCAGAAAGGGCACAGATTCCCTGGAACCACAGTTATGGACAGTTGAAAGTCACAATGTGGGTGCTGGGAACAGAACTGGGGTTCTCTGCAGGAGCAGCAAGTGTTCTTAACTACTGGGTCATCTCTCTAGTCCCTCAAAGCCCTGTTTAAAGCAAGAGAGGGGTTGTGGGGGTGGGGCAGGAAGGAAGGGCAAAGTGAGGGAGTGTGTGCTTAGCCTGTGTGAAGCCACGGCGTCCATTTCCAGTTCGGCCTGCACAGGCAGCAGCAAGCGTTCTAGCCTGCCTGCACGCTGGCTCAGCAGGCCTGGCAACCTGAGTTCAGTCCTCAGAACCCATGTGGAAGGAGAGAGCTAAAACTGCAGCTCGCCCCTATTCCCACCGTGGAAACCAGTGGGATCTCCACTTCCTTTGCACCTGCACAAAGGAAGTCTCTCCTCCCTTTCTAAACATGCGTTCTACACACACACACACACACACACACACACACACACACACCCCGCAGCTGCAGCACTCATTCACGTCCTGCCTCAGTTCATGGTTTCAGGACTCGTTTCAATCCCCTACTTTTGAGGTCAATGTCTTATTGTTATCTTTCCTCCACACAGTGGTGCATAGAACTTTAAGCTGTTATTGATTTTTAAGTGTGTGGCGTGTGTGTGTGTGTATGTGTGTGTGCATGTGTGTGCATGTGTATATATGCACGTGTGTGTCTTCGTGTGTGTACCTGGGTGCATAGGTGGGCAGGAGGTGAGCTGCTGTTTTAGAATTCTGTTCCTCTTCTGACAGGGTGACTCTGGAGGTCCCCTCCACTGCTTGGTGAACGGCCAGTACTCTGTGCACGGAGTGACGAGCTTTGTGTCCAGCCTGGGCTGTAACGTCTCCAGGAAGCCCACAGTCTTCACACGAGTCTCTGCTTACATCTCCTGGATGAATACTGTGAGTTCCCGAGAATAATTCCCTGGCGATAAAGCACTGGCTGGGTTAGGCAGGAAAACCCAGGCTGGGGAAGCTGTTGTCACTCCCCCCCCCACCCCCCAGGAGCTCCTCAGCCAGAGTTCCCCTTCACACACCTCACCATGCGTTTATAGTTTATTCTAACCTGAACCAAGCACACACGTGACTGAATCAAAGTCAAGGGCGGGGCTGCAGAAAAACCTGCACTGCATGCGCCCCCCTCTCCCTTAAGTGCTCCCTAATTTTCACTTAGGAAAGGGGTCTTAGCAGATGATGCTGCCTAGCCGTCCTAGTAGTGGGCCACACAGCGTGTCACTGTGCCTTCCAGCCACCAGACACATTCTGGAGCCTTGCTCTGTAATCTTGGCGGAGGCCCTGAGGAAAGCCAGTGGAAGAGGTGACTGATTGAGAACATAACTGTCTTTTCCTTCAGGTCATGGCCTCCAACTGAACACTTTCCTGAGTCCATTGGCTTTCCCAAGGTGGTTCTTAGCTCTGTAATAAGACTTGACTTCAGCAAGAAGGAGGCAGGGTCGGGGTCACCACTCAGTGGTAGAGCACTTGTTTAACTTGCCAGGCCCTGGGTTCATCCTCAGTACGGGGGTGGGGGGTGGGGTGGGGAAGGGGATGGAGGAGTGCTGGGGGCGCTCAGCCATAGAGGGTTCCTCTAGCGTGCATGAAGCCCTGGGTTGGGTCGCCAGCACCTGGGGCAAAGGAGGGGGTGTGATGAAACAGTGTGAGCCTGTTGAACCAGATACAGAAAGGCAAATAAAACGGAATGAATTATCATAGTGTGTGCTTGCATTTATAATTAAGTACCCTACAGAAAATCCACTTATAGGTCCTAAGATGAGTTTCACCACGTCATGGTCTGGTTCCCCCTTTGCTCTGTATTTGGAACAAGTGCTAACTCCAAGCTCCTGGACGACAGGACCTTCAGGATGCCCTAGAAGTGGGATTAGGAGATCAGGTGCCAGCCAACTAAGGGAGCAGCAATAGAGCAGGGCGGGGAGGGAGAAGAACAGGTACTAAATAAAGAAAGGAAAGGGGGAGAGGAAGGGGGAGGCCAGAGAGGAAGAGGCAACCATTCAGGGCTGGCGTTAAGCATGAATCAGCACTTCATGGAGACTAAAATAGAGCTCTATAAACCACACACAACTGGGAAGCTGATAACTCTGTTCTGTCCTGGCCAGGGTACAGGGTGTCAAGAATGGGCTAGGAAAAACAAAGGGGGAACCGAAAGAAGACATTCGGGTGGAGGAGAACAGCTTTCAGAGCAATCACTAAAGAGCAGACAGGACTGGGGGAGTGGACAGCACAGCAGGGGAACTGGCTGAGCCTCCTGCCAGCAGCAGGGAGACAGCATTGGCACCAGTAGGCCACAGTCCCCAATCCCCTCCTTCGGAACCCCGCAAAGGTAAAGCTGGAAGCAGACTTAGTTTATTAAACAGAGGCGAGGGGTCACATGCCTTAGACATGTGCACACGTAAGTGGAAGACAATGCCCATCCAAGTGTGGCTGAGCCTCTCAAAACACCTAGGCGTCCTTATAATGCCCAACTCCACATTTATATAACATATAATTATTGTATGGCTTTCTAAGATATATTGTTTAAAAGATGTAATTTACTCCACAATTTAAAGGTTAAACAAAGTCGGGTTGGAGAGATGGCTCAGCAGTTAAGAGCACCTGCTGCTTTCCTAGAGGACCCAAGTTCAGTTCCCAGCACCCACATGGCAGCTCACAACCACCTGAAACTCCAGCACCACAGGACCCAATACTGTCTCTGGCCTCTGGCCTTCACTCACACAGACATACATATAAAAAATAAAAATAAAACAAAGCTTTTTGAAAAGTAGACACATTTTTAAAATTAAAGCTTAAGCTAAAATATATGAACTGATTTACTCATTTTTCTTATGTGAAAGAATTTCATTTTGTACATGAAATTGTAAGGTGGTTTCATGAGTGTATTTCTGAGGTTGAGGGATGAGAATCCTAAGTCAGTTAAACTCAGGGTCACTATCTGCTTCTAAATAAGCATAGTTTGTTGTTAGTTGTATTCTCTCTTTCTCTCTTTGTCTCTCTCTCCTCTCTCTGTCTGTCTGTCTGACTGTCTGTCTGTCTTTTTGTCTTTCTGTCTGTCTCTCAGACATAGGGTCTCACATGTAGCCCTGAATGGCCTGGAATTCACTACACAGACCAAGCTAGACTCAATTCACAGAAATCTACCTACCTCTGCCTACTGGGTGCTGTTATTAATGCCTGGCCCATAGTTTGTTAACACCATTGTCTAGGTTCATTTGTCTTTAAAACTGTGAATGTTAGTGACTGATCTGTGCACATGAGTACATATCCTCTTGGACTTTAGTGGGTTCTGAGCCAACACGGGTGCTGGGAACTGAACTCAGGTTCTTGGCAAGAACACTATGCTCTTAATCAGTGAACCATCTCTGAATTTTGATTTGGTAAGCCATGTTGAAGTTTCTGGCTTTCAATCACATTCTGAAGTAAGGGACTTCTTTCCCTCTGTGTACCCTTAATTCTCTCTTTACTACTTCACCATTGTATTAGCAGAGCTGGTTACATCATGGTGTATATTATAATCTCTACATAGATGTGTATGCTGTGACCTCTGTATCACTGTGTATACTGTGTCCTCTACATCACTGTGTGTACGGTATCTCTACATCGCTGTGTGTACTGTGACCTCTAAATCACTGTGTATGCTGTGACTTCTACATCACTGTGTACACTGGACTGTAGTCAGGGTGTCTGAATTCCTGTCTTAATACCACCACAGAGGAGTTGGGGTAGCCTAAGAAAATTGTCAGTCTTTCCTGTTATAAGAAACAGTTCTGTGGGTTATTGTTTTGTTTGTTGTTGTTACTGTTGTTCTCTGTCAAAGGTAATTAGCACAACAAGGGCCCATATGCCTTAAAACAGCCCATGTGACTTGCTTGTTTGCACAACTCTTAGGCATTCCCAAGCTTGATCTTACTCTTTCCCTCAGCACCAACTAGTCGATTGCATCAGAGAGCTTCTCAGTCAGGCAGAGTGGTACACACTTGGAGTCCCTGTACTTGGAAGGCTGAAGAGGGATTGCCCAAGTTCTAGGCAGCATGGGCTACAGGTCCTGTCTCAAGCAAACACCAAGAAGGAATCGTTAGGACACTGCCGAAGTCCTGTGACATCCTGGGAGTGACTCGGGTATCAGGCTTGGGCTACTGATATCCTGGCTGCCATTGGCATCTTCTCCCAGCACCTCAGCAGGACCTATAGTCTCTGGATTTCTCCGCTCTTTCCTATTCTATATGAGGTACTTCCATTTTCTTAATCTACCTTTTTCAGGCCGTTACCAAAGCCAGCATCCATTCCCTAACCACCTATTGCTTGAAATTTTGTCTCCATCTCTATAAGTGAGCCAAGAACATTACTGGCTAATCATCCGATTGCAGATCCACCTCCACACTAAGCACCTTGAGACCGGGGTTGCCATTCATGCTCGGCTTCACCACGTACTGCAATGCCTGGCACACTGCTGCTCTTGAGTGCAGGGTCTTTTTAGCTGAAAGGAATGGAAAACAATGGCAGGCAATTGTTGGCATGCCTCCAGCTTCCCTCTGCATTCCACAGGAAGTCAACTATGACATCTTTTCCTTGAGGGAATTTACCAGCTCTCTTAGATTCAAGAATAAATGGTTACCCCAAACCTCGTATCCATCCATACCTTTAAGTTATTCCTTCTAAGTGATAGGGGGAACTTCCTGGAAGACCTAGAACCTAGAGAAACCATAGTAATCCCTGTAGCCCCACCCCAATTTACATAATCTAAAATCCTGTGTCTAAATTCCCATCCTGTGTTAGTCTAACGTACTGTGCTTTGACTGGAAATGCTTGCTCGCCATTGCCCACTTCCGGCTTCTACTGTACTCTCTCCTCAGCTCTTATTTATTTTTGCTTTTGGGAGACAGGGTCCTTCTGTGTGGCCCTGGCTGTCCTGAACTCACTTTGTAGACCATGTGGTCTCGAACTCACAGAGATCCACCTGCCTCTGCCTCTCAGGTGCTGGGATTAAAGGTGCGCGCCACACCTCCTGATCCCCCCTCAGTACATTATTAATGGCATCCCTTTTCCTGAGGACCCCACCTCTTTCCAGGGTTCCTTCCAAATTCAGATCTGGATTCTGCCCGCCTTCTGCGCGCTGTCCCTACAGTTTCCAGGTTTAGAGCCAACTAACTGCAGCCCAGACTGAGACACAGCCTCCCAGCATCAACACCGGTACAGCCCATGTGTGGGCTCTGGTCCTCACCGAGTGAGACCCAACCTGTTCTGTCTCCCGGTTCAGTTCTTTTCTGTTCAGCCTTTGGGAACCAGTGTTGAAGGGGCCATTCCTTCCTCACTGTAGGGCTAGCATCTCCAAGGGTCTTGTGCACCCACCGAAGTCCACCGTGAACAATCCCTTCCCAGTCAACTTCCTCAGAACGGCCCAGCTGCCCTCTCAGCTGCAAACGACCCTGTGGACGCCAGCCTGTAGCCTGGGAGTCACCTGAGCTGGACAGTGGCATGCTCCCGTGGTCCTCGGGGAGTGGACGGGAGTGTGCCCCCGTGGTCCTCGGGGAGTGGGCAGTGGCGTGCCCCCGTGGTCCTCAGGGAGTGAACAGGGGTGTGCCCCAGCCTCGGGAAGTGGACAGGAGTGTCCTCCAGTGGTCCTCCCAGGGAGTGGGCAGTGGCGTGTCCCAGTGGTCCTCGGGGAGTGGACAGGGGTGTGTCCCAGTGGTCCTCCCGGGGAGTGGGCAGGGGAGTGCCCCAGTGGTCCTCCCAGGGAGTGGGCAGGGGTGTGCCCCAGTGGCCCTCGGGGAGAGTGGGCAGGGGTGGGCCCCAGTGGCCCTCCCGGAGTGTGGACAGTGGTTCAGGCCGCCCAGGTCCAGCAGGCCGCAGGGAGGGTGTGAAGAAGGCCCGCCCTCTGGCCTGACGCAAGGCATGCTGGGAGGCCGCACTTCCTCTCAGGGGCCTCTAGAAACCACAGGATCGGGCAGCGCCCCCGCAGCCGGCAGGATGGCCGAGGGCAAGGCTGGTGGAGCCGCTGGCCTCTTCGCCAAACAGGTGCAGAAGAAGTTCAGCAGGGCCCAGGAGAAGGTAGGAGCCCGGCCTCAGCAGGGCGCCCGGGTCTGGGCTGAGGAGGAAGGGTCCTGTTGTCTGGAAACTGAGCGGGGAGTGAGCGTCCATGGACACTGGCCGATGTGGGAGAGAAGGAAGCAGCTGAGGAGACAGCTGTTGCTCAGGAGCCTTCTGCAGCCCTCAGCCTGACCCAGAAAAGACAGCAGGAAGGAACAAGTGGTAGTGGCCACCTGTGTCGCAGATTTTGACCTGGCCTTAAAGCAAGGAGGGTGTTTCACAGATGATGAATTAATTGGAGGTTCTTGCCCCCACAGTAAGTGACAGCGGCTGTGTTGCCAGTGAGTCGCCCCGCGCCGAGGACTAGAATAATCTACACAGTTCTCCTCACACCTGAGTGATGTTTAAACTGGTATACACGAAGCCAGTGGGCAAGAGCATAGAAAACCC